ATAATAGACTAATAAAAAGCATAGCATGCTATTAATATTTTATATAAGATCAATCTGTTGACATTCAGGTGTGCTTACACTTAATAATGTACACAAGTACACAAACATCTACATCCTGAAAAACAAAATAAACAGCGGTTCTGCACTGTTGTCACCAGTGTATTATGATGTTTCCTTACATAGGTGCATGACATTTACAGGTGAATATCTTGGAGAAAGGGACTATGTTGTATTCAATGAATATAAAACACTTATCATATTGTGGCTGTTAAAATTAACAAATAAAAAATGATCTTGCAGAGTGTAAGGATGTACAAAATTAAAGACACATTTTTAAAAAAAATTGCCTTTAAAGTGTAAAAAACATCAATGACATTAACAGATATTTGTCTCTTTCCTGATAAAACAAAAACCTTGCTAATGAAAAGTATAAAAAATATTTCAGAATATAGGTTTTATCAATGAAAGGATGCACAAATATTTGATGGTGTAAGGGAGCCTCACATTTCAGCAGGTGCCTGAGTAACTAAATCAGAATAAACCACCACACTCCAGCCACCCTATTGTTCTCTTCATCTATACAAAAGGAACCTGCAACCAAAACAGACCCAGCTCTCCTTGCCACGTGCATTATTGGGATTTTCATTGTGTTGACAAGACGGGTGGGTTAGAGCATGGCTCTGTTCTCCCTGCTGTCATCTGCACAGCCCATCATCAGCTCGTGTTGGCATTTTGTACTGACATGTGCTATTTGATGTGGAGACAGGAATAAGAGAGGGGAAATACTCTCCCCATGTTTGCTCTGACTACCTTTTCCAGTATCACATAGCCTAACTTTTGCTCATTCTAGGCTTGGGAAACAAAGCAGAAGCACAGTTCTCATGAAGGAGGACACTGTTTAGCATGAACCAGTCAGTTGGACTGAAAAGGATTGGGGTCCCAAAGTAAACTAATTAGAAACTTAAGTCTTTTGTCACTCCTCTCCCTGAGGCCACTTGAAAATAATCATGGATTAATATAATAGAATATTTTGTGTTGGAGGAGACTTTTAAAGGTCATCTAGTCCAACCCTTTGCAATGAGCAGGAACATCTTTATCTACATCAGGTTATAATATATAGTCTCTTGAGGTGATTTGGGAATTCAGTAGAGCAGTTTTGGGCCCTTGGTCTCTCACCTAGATGAGGTCAGCTGCACAAAGCATCTCTCTTTCACAGCCATTTTTATCTTGTGACCAATTGTACTTATTGAAATCAACATGAAGATGACAGATCAGAGACTAAAGCTCTGTCATGAATAAAGAAGTTATTGAATAGAGCTGGATGAGAGAGAAGCCTTAAAGAAGGAATTGACTGAGTGCTGAAATTTTCCCTTTTTTTTTCCTAAACTATCAGTTTCAATATAAACTATAATTCTCCCTTTGCCTAAATCTTGTCTTGCCTGTGTTTCCAGAACTCTGTAGCTGTAGGAGCACAACCATAACCATGAACAGTCATCTCCAAAGTAGTATCTCATGGCAACAGATGAAGTCAGATCAGACCATGTAATCACTTCCCTATGGGAATAAACACTTGTCCTAAAAAGAGTCTTCTTAACACTCACAGGCCCATTTTATGCAGTACTCAGAGCACAGAATTGCTGAGGCAATCATCCTGGATGATCCCACCAGTTATCCCACTGTCTGCCTGCTCTCCTTTTCCTTTTTCTGGCTTTGCCATAGGATGAATGCCATGGATAATGAGTCAGGGTGGAAGGGCCAGAGCCATCCCTTCTTCAGGCACACTTGTGGGCACATTACTTTGCTGTTCCTGCATGTGGGACTCTTCATTTGATGAGCTGAGGGGGTCTCACGTGTCCTGGCACCAGAAGTTATTTGGTAAAGATTTCCAAAACCAGTAAAAACTGCTGAGAGGAATGGGGATCTCCAGGCTGAATCACTAGACTCATAAAAAGCATTATTTCCACTCTGTTTTTGAGGCATCATTTCTGCTTCCTCTGCTGGTATCTTAGCATCCCACCTCCTCTCAAATACTCTGTTATGACAAGATTGGCTCAACAATTAAGTGAGGATTGACTTTTCCAGCAGAACCTACAGTGGCATTGTGCTGATGGGAGAGAAAGTTTTTGCCACCGCTGTTTAGTTCACTTTAAAACATGTCTTGTGGTCTTCATGTTAAGCTGCTTTGCAAAATTATTTGTCCACTCTAACACATGATCAGAAGGAAGGAAGGAATACTCTGAAGCATGTGTTTGACAAGAAATCTAATCTTTCATCTTCCTGTGTGGCTCCTCTTCTCTTTCTCCTCTCTTTTCAGCAGCCCTCTATGCCTTTTTCTGTTTACCACATAGTGCAAAGGCCAGGACTTCATCCATCTCCTCTCCAAGGTGGTGTTTGTGGTAGGAAATTCATGCCTTCAAAAATGCACACAGTTTGTGACAAAGACATATCTTCATCTAGAAAGCACCACATCGCTCTCTGTTGCTTTGTCAATGAATAATTAATAGAGTGAAATAATTATGTGCAATAGATTTTACCTTCTTGCAATTTGCTACTTGTTCCCCATGTTTCTGGAAAGCAGATGATCTAGACTTGTTAATTTCTTTTGCTTTTAACCCATACCTGGCTTGTCTGGAAACACTTTGGTTTAAGATCATGTTGCTTAGGCACGATATTTGAAATTATTTCAGACTGTAAGCAACTTTCTATGAAATAGTAATAAGGAGTGCTCCAGTAAGTTCTGGTTAGGGTAGGAGCAGCTGCAGGGTAACAGGTTTTTGGATTAAAGGAACAATTATTTATCTGGCATAAAGGGTGCACATACTGGCTTAACCTGGCAAGGAGATGAACTTTAATATGACACTGATTTCAGTACAGTCTCACTCGTTATAAAATCTAGAGACTCATTGAAGTAAATAAATATGTACACAGTGCTACTGTTTTCTTGACACGTATATATATATACACGTGTGTATATGCATTGTGTGGCAGATGCCAAACAAACAGATCTATTCAGTGTTAACGCTCCTCACAAATGTACCTGACAGACCAGAAGTTTGAAAATGTCACTTGAAAATATTTACAGGTTTCTGGGAAAAAAAAAAAAAAAAAGAAAACCCACCGAAGAAAACCCAAACACACCAAAACAACACAGACCCAAAATTATTTCAGGCGTGTGGCGCCAGATTTCTGTGTTTGAGCTTATGAGCTCATTAATTGTAGCTTTGAGCTGTGTAAAAATGTGCATCAGTGCCCTTGATGTGCCTATATTTTGGTGATGCACGAATTGTCTCTATATCCTGTCTAAGAAGTGGACACTAATATCTGCCCTGGAACATAATTAGAAGTCATAAAATACCCTGCTGTACTGAGTCAGGATCTCACCCATCTGGGATTGATACCAAGAGATGTTCTTTTCTGGTTTTGCTGTCAGCACAAATGTTTAAATATACCTTCAAGAGCTGAAATATTTGGAAAGGAATTCTGTTTCCTTATTGCCTTATGTAAGCAAGCAATAGTCTGCATTTAATGAAGGTTCATCCTTCAGTCTGTCTCTGTGAGAAGTGAAACAGACACCTTAATTTTAAGAGGGCTGCAAGTGTAAATTGATAAAGAAAAAGGTGTAGGACCTTGCCTAAAGCAAGCTTGTAACTATCATTATTCTATTCTATTCTATTCTATTCTATTCTATTCTATTCTATTCTATTCTATTCTATTCTATTCTATTCTGTTCTGTTCTGTTCTGTCCTGTCCTGTCCCGTCCTGTCCTATCCTATTCTCACAGAATTTAGGTTAGAAGCTAAAATTTTTAAGAGCAAAAAAGTGAGTTTTGTAGTTAAAAAGATTAAGGTGTTCACAGGAAAAAAAGAAACTATCAGGGTATCTTAAAAGAGACAGTATGTTTCCTTTAAGCATGAGTGATGAACACAGATTAATTCTGCTCTAAGAAGGTCTTCATATCATCATCCTCACATAAACCATCTGAACTCCTTCTAGTAGTGCATTGAATTACATGATATTTTGTATCACTGTCATATGCAGCTCCTTTTTTTTCTCATTCCCCCAGGGAATAACGGTGCATGCAGTGGTAAGATTTATTTCTTCCACAGAAAATTTTTGTTGTAGTCAGGTTGGAGAAGGCAGGTCAAAGAAAAGTGTTTTGTGCTTGGTGAAAAAATATGTGTTAGTCCTTAAGATTATTTCTTTTTTTTTCCTTGGGAGTTTGTTCTATTCTCTTGGATCAGTTGCAGAGAAAGTTTTCTTTCTTTCTCTCCCTCATATTAACTTTAAGTTAAAAGCTCAGTTTTGCCTGAGGAGTTATTGATCACAGTCTTGACTGAAAGATTTGGTGATCATTCAGCAGTTTTAGACCCAGGCCAAGGAATTGCCACTCTCAAGAAATAAACAAGTGCAGAGCTAACCTGAGATAAACTGATGTAGCTCAATAGATTTTAATCGTTAATAACAGCTGAGGATTTGACCTAACTTTGGAAGGAATTTATGAGTTCAAAGGTGTGGAAAGCTGTTCTTGCTGCAAATCACTGCAAACCCATAGTGTTCTTGCATCTTTGTAATCCTAAATTCTGCTATGAGAGTTAAATTTAACATTTCTCATTAGAACCAACATCCTAATATTTTCACAAACTGTGGGTTTTTTTTAAATTGTGAGGGCTCAATCTTATTTTGTTAATCACACTGGATTGGAGACACCTTAGTGATAATCAGTAATTTTTTCAGAGCATGAAATCAAATAAACATCACAAGATATTTTGACTGTAAAACTTATGAGATCTAATAATGCACTGTTCCCACACTGAAATCCCAACACATTCATTTTTCTCAAAACAATAATGTTATAGGAAGCCAAACCACACTGACTGTGAGAAAAACCAAACCCAAACAAAACCAGCCACAAGAGAACTACAAAGCTGTTCATCACTGAGTTTGTCAAAACACAGAAGAGGAGGTTTCCCTCACTTCAATATTTCAATTTTTTTTTGCAGGTGGCACCTGTGTTGTCAACCCCACCGACCTGTTCTGCTCCGTTCCTGGTCGCTTGTCTCTGCTCAGCTCCACTTCCAAGTACAAAGTGACCATTGCAGAGGTGAAGAGGCGCCTTTCACCACCAGAATGCCTCAATGCTTCCCTCCTTGGAGGTATTTTGAGAAGGTAAGTTGAAGGTGAGGATTACAACTCCTAGACAATGCTGTAATTGCTGTATTTTTTTTTATAATTATTATTTTTAATAGATAGGCTTTATTCTTTTTCCCTACTTGGATAGGTGGCATATTTGGGGTGAATAGAAGGGGATGGATCAGGAGGGAACCCTGGAGAATTTTCAGTAAATTAACAAGTTTACATTTTTCATCAAACTGATTTTTTTTTTTTGACTCCTCTCTTCAGTTACTCATCAGGCATGGATAGATATTGCTTTGATTTGTTTTGAGAAAAAAAAAAAAAATTCAGCTAGTGGAAAATTTCACCAGAGCTACAAATCTAAATTCTTGCTGAGAACCTATCTCAAAGTAAATAATTTTACAATAGTTACAGCCCTCACTCAACCACAAAAATAAAACACCGAGGTGTAGGGATGCCTTTTTCTTCCTTCCTCTGCATGTTTTTTGAGCACAACAAAGACAGGATAATCTGGTTTTACTTTTCCTGTTGTGAGATATTCGGGGAGAAGTGAAAAATTAGGTAAAATTTTACCTCTGACCCTTCACTGGCCACAGCAGACACCTGCAGAGAGCAGGAGCAGAAAGAAGGAAAGGGGCAGACTGTGCCTCATATTGCAAGTGGAAAAGCAAGAGGCAACTGTAATTCAGGCAGGCATATCTAAGTCACGGTGTCCCCGAGGCATCAGCTCAGATGGCATCAGCTGCTTGAACACCCTTTGATCAAAACTAGCTGGAAAGTCATCGGTTATTTCACTGCTGGCACTGAAGGCCACACTGATCCTCCTGCTTATACTGAAAGTCATTTTAACCAGCCTGAGACGTGCAGGCACTCAAGAGCTGTCCTGAGACATCTTGGAGAATAATGACTATAGACCATAAACTGTTTTCAAGGCATAAGTTCCCTTTAACTGTCTTTATGAGTGTTGAAATCCAAAATCAACATCCACCAAAATTTTCCCCTCTATTTGCTTCATCCTGGGGAAACCTTCACTTAATTTTCATTTTAAATACTCATGCTGCAGATTTCATCAATACAGTGCAAGTTATTTTGGATTCAAAGGCATCAACTTGAATGTGGGAGCTCACTTGTCTCCTGTGTTAAAATGCTTGAATAATCCCCACAGGTTTTTGACCCAGATTAAATATCTCCTCTCCCAGATTAACCCTGGGCATGGTTCAGGAGTTTGCAAAAACCAGGAACTCCTCCCTGTCTGCAGTTTGGATGTGCTAATACTTTTTGAATCAGAAAGAGCAATGGAACATATTCAGTCAATTTGTAACTGAGGGTTTCACAGCTAGAGAACATGCTCAAACACTCTGTATTTGACCAGGAAAGATGTAGGAAAACAAAATCTCATGGATTGTTTCCCTGAGACCTTGAAAGCTAGTTTTGCATCCTGTCAGTAGTCACTGCTTGCCTATTTTCCTAAATAGCTTGCTTTCAGAATAAAATGTTCTTCTGAAAAAAGAAAAAAAATATTTTCAGAAGATATTTCATGATAAACAATGTGGCCAAAGTTGTGATGTTTTTTAATAAATAAAAACATAAAACCAGGCATCCAAATGGTGATATTCCGTGTTTGGTTCCTTCCTCTCCCTGAAGGAACTTGAATGTGAACCTCAAAATATTTAGTTATTTAGTTAATAGTTATTTTTTTTTATTACTCTGTGATTGTTTTTTCTAAGCTGAAAGCCCCTCAGTCTGGTTTGGAGTTGTGTAAATTATGTGTTTCTCAAAAAGCAAAGGCATAGATTCTTATCTAATTAATGGACAGGTAATTCACTTGAGATGGGAGATATCAGAGTTCCAGTCACTGTTTTATTCATTGTTTAAGCATTTTAACAGTTGTTATTTTCTGTCAGCTGGCTGCTGCATCTGTTTGAAAGATACAGGTTAAAATTCCCTCAGGCTGAGGAAGAATTTGAACCTACATCAGCTGCATAAGTGGATTTGTCTCAAATGCTTCAAACACTGAGGTGCTGCAGAAAAGCAGCTGGGACACACCAGGACCCATTTTGTGAGAACAAAGGGATGAAGGTGTTTGGCATAGGGGCACAGATAACCAATAATGGCTGAGATTTTAGCTTCGGCATTTCCTGTTGCCTTGACCATCTTTCTTGTGATTTTTTGGATTTGAAGACATTTCTGAGTACCCAGGTCTCTACATAAATTATGGAGGGATAGTTAGAGCTGGGTTCCACATAGCCATCTACATTTAAGAAGCTATCTGGCTTCCTTTAACAGCCAGACAAGCCACATGAGTAAAGTTCACTCATTGTGGATATCTGTTTAACTCTAGAAGGTCATGTTTCTTTCTAATTTGTCTTTGGAGCCTGGCTTGGCTAAATCAGATATAAATGTTTGCACTGTCAATATTTATATTTAGTCACTGAAATCCCAGGTGCCATGCCCAAATCAGGACTCTGGGCTCCACTAGGTGGAAAGCTGCCTGAAGATCTGATGCCCCCATGACAAGCATTAAAATCTCTAACTCTGCCAAAGAACTGATGTTAAAGAATCAACTAGAGCAAGCAGGATATTAAGAGTACAGCTCTGAAATATTTCCCATTGAAGTCACTACTGCAGTAATTACCCCACATATTTGTCAATGAAGTGTGTGCAGTTTCTAGGCTTATATTAACATAGGAGAAAGGTGCAGAGTAATGACAAGTCCCTCTTTCCTGCTGTTCTCTCGTGACAGAGCAAAATCCAAGAACGGAGGACGCTGCTTGCGAGAAAAATTAGACAGACTTGGACTGAATTTGCCTGCAGGAAGAAGAAAAGCAGCAAATGTCACACTTCTGACTTCCCTGGTAGAAGGTAGGGTCTCTAATATTGCAATATAATAAAATCATATTTAAAATGTTTCATGGCATGCAACCCTTTTCAGCCATAGGGTTAAATCCCATAATCTGTATTTTGTATAAGGAGACCTGACTTGCCTAAAGCCACAGATAGAGTGGGTGGCAAAATGGAAGTGTGCTGGGAGATATCTTGGCCCCCAGCAAGTGTCTTGGTCCTGCAGTTTCCTCAGCATTGATTTGTGCTTACAAATCGATCATCTGAGTGTTCTTGTGAGAGAGATGAATGTCTTATACCAACTCTATAAGTAGGTTTGTTTATCCTCCTTTTTTAAATTTTTTTTTAACTTGTGAATTTCCTGGAGCTGGTCCAAAAATGTGATGGGTTTTTTTTTCTCCCATAAGAAAGCATAATATTTAGACAAGCCTTTTCCCCACACACATAAATGAATGAAATCTGTTTTCAGATAATATCTAGACAGGCTCAGGAGATACTTTCTTGGCCTTTATTTGTTGTTTAAATATCATTCACCAAATACTGCCAGGCTCTTCACACCTTCACCTGGGAGATTCAGGTTCAAACCCCTCAGGCAAAGGGAGGAAACTCTACCTGCATTTCTTCTGTTCTGGGTGAATCCACTAAGTACCCAGTTTGTTGTTTGGCTGCCAGTAGCAGCTCTGGGAATTTCAGATCCCTCCTCCTTGATGCTGAGAGAACTCAGCTCATCCTAAAGGTCAACACCTTCTCCAATCATAGCCTGAAAGGTCCATACACATCTAGGCAAGTAGGCTGAGGTCTCAGCACATATTACCACAGAATTACAGAATTACAGAAGGATTGAGGCTAGAGGACACCTCTGGTGATCTCCCAGGCCAATCCTCCTGCTCAAAGCAGGGTCAATTAGAAGAGTTTGCTTAGGACTTTGTGAGTTTTTTATTATCTCAAAGGATGGAGACTCTTCAAGGCAGAAATAGAATCCTCAACACTGGAGGTTTTCAGCATCTCTGAAAAAGGACTGAGATTTTCAGGGGTCACTGAGCACAAGTTCAGTGGGGCTGCTCTGAAGTACAGGTGTGTCCATATCACACCTGCTTCCAAGAGAAAGCTCTCATGGAGTTACAGCCTTAAGAAAGGTACTAAAAATAGAGGAGTAAGGGCTGTTCCCACCTTCAGGCATCTCAAGTCAGGGAAGAATAGACACAGCTGGGTATTATTAGTAAGCAGAGCAATGGCTTTAAACTGAAAGCTGAAAAGAGGAAGAAATCCTTCCCTGTGAGGGTGGTGAGGTCCTGGCACAGATTTCACAGAGGAGCTGTGGCTTCCCCATCCCTGGAGTTCCCCAAGGCCAGGTTGGATGGGGCTTGAAGTAACCTGAGACACTGGAAGATGTCCCTGCCCATGGCAGGGTGTGGAGCTGGAGGATCTTTTTGGTTTCTTCCAACCCAGACCATTCCATGATTCTGGGATTCTATGTGGCCAGTTATTCATTCATCAGAGGAGACTGAGAGAGAGGGAGGTGTCTGACAACTGCTGGCCTGGGGCTGATGGCTGAGTAGCTTTACTGTAATTCAGGGTCAGATTCCTGCTTCCCAGGAATGGAGCTGTGCCCAAATCCCTGCTCTTTATTCAAAGCCAGTAGCAAACCTGGTATCCAGCCTGCAGTGTTGCTTCTTTTCTTGGACTGCCTTGCTGTGAGTCCTAAAGATAAATGCTGATAAACGTGCCTGAGCCCATTTTGGAAGAGACCTTTTTGCCTGGATATGGTAACCATGAATTTTATCCAATGGAATTTTTGGGAATGGCACCACCACGTTAACATTCCAACAGAAAACTAAGTGAAGCTCATTTCCCGTCTGTGTAACCAATTCTGTGTCAAACTTAGCAGTGCTCATTGGGTTCTTGGTGGTATAAGCTGTTCTTACTTTGGAGATGCAGATATTCCTTCCAGGTAGAACTAACTTACAACACAATTTCTTCAAGGAAAACCATCTTTCAATGGTTCCTGCTGCTGGAGGGAACAGAATGGAAGGACACAGGCTTCTGTGGTTTAGAGAACCCAGAAAAAAAGCAACATGAGCTTTTATTGTGCAATAGCAATAGAAAAATTGAAACAAAAATAATTTTTTAGTTTTGTTAAATCTCTAAAATATCAGGTACACAGAGTGTGCCTCTCATAAGGACCCAGGATTGTGTCGCTCTTGACTTCTTTAGATGGTTCTAAATTTATTATTGCTGAAGGTCCTCACAGTCGTCAATATATTGAGGCTTTAATATCTCTTTAAGTTAAAAGAGCACCCAACCTCTTGAATATCTATGTGATGTAAGATAAGGCAAAATTAGTTGCATGATTATTGTGTTTATTCACCAAAACCAAGTAAAAAAATCTCAGGCATGACTAATACTTCTCTTCCTCTAAACATGCTGAAATCATGGAGTTTTAGGGAGTTTGTTAAGCTCAAGGAGGAGCTGTAATTTCTTTTTAGGCTGTGGCTATCGCATGAAGGTCCAGATTTTATGAAAATTATTCTGTGGCCTCTTGTTTCCTGAGAACTTTTTTTCTTTTGGAGTTCTGCTTTGCTGCAGGATGTCTACCGTTGGCTTGATCAGGTCGCATCTTTAGAGTCTTTGGTAGAGACATCTTCGGCCCAAAATAGGAATTGTTTGACAGATGAGTCCTGTTCTCTTTGTCATCCAGATAAATCAGCACAAGGAGTGGAAAGGCAGTCAGGGAGAAGGAAGTCAGAACTCTCCCGAGCAGTTTGGGGACACATCTTTGTGTAACCTGCAGGCGAGGGATGCCCTCTAGTGCCTGGACTAGATCGAGGGAAAGGTCATTTTTCTTCCGAGTTCCAGAAGGAAAATTCCAAAATATTAGCTGCAAAATAAAGGCTCCTCGAATAAATATAGGTATTTCCAAGTCCAAGCTTTACTGTGGGCTCAAAAGAGTCAAAAGCTTCTCCAGTGGGAGTAAAGAAGGATGTGAAAAGAGGGGAGATGTCCCCTTCTGTTTGAATGGGTCACTTACAAAACATAAATGTGATTGCAGATGCAGGTAAAAGCAGTGCATGAATGATTTTTAAACAGTCAGATAAAAAATAATAATAATAAAAAAAAAAATCTAGAGTTTGTTTTCCTGTCAAACCTGATTAAGACACTAAATTTCCTAGACACAGAATTAATGACATTCATCATCTGGGGACAAAAACTCTCGAGAAAAATAGGTCAGTGGTTTCTTTTTTCATCGTGCTCTCAACTATCACACTTCTCCCCCACCAGCCTTTGTTTAAATATCCTTCCACTTGTTCCTCCTCCCTTCTCACCCTACAAATAGAATAAACTTTCCTTCCACCTCCTGCCTGTCCCTCCTCCCCCTGAGTAACATTTCTGCTGGGTTGAGCATCCGGAGGAGGCACAGGCGAGGAGAGAGTGGGAGGTTCAGATGCCGAGTGTCCCTCTCCTGGGGACACAGCTCCTGCCTTCCCTCTGCACAGGAGCATCTCTCACTCCTGCTGGCCCCGGGGGAGCCTCACCCCGCTCCTCGCACCTGCCCACGGAAACCTTCCGAGGTACTCGGCTGCTCTCCCCACCCAGGCTTCCAGAGCTGTCTCTGCCAATTCTGCCCCGGCAATTGTCCTTTTCCATCGTGCAGAGCTCTCTGGTCAATTGTCAAACTGCGGAGAGGCAGCGCTGCCAGGAGCTGCAGAGCCCTGTGCTGGCTTTGGGAGTGCAAATTCCCAACATCTGCTCTTTATCGCGGCAGGAGGAAAGAGCTGGGGGCATCAACCACGGGGAAATTTGATTTTAGGTTGAATTTAGTCTGAAACAGGGAAATTAACTATAAAAGTCAGGGATTTTAGGCGTTTCTACCTTTATCATGATTCCTACCCTGATGTAATTAACAACTAGGCAGGTGAAAGAAAGGTGAAAGAAAAAAGGTCAGTTCATCCACATTTCCAACATTTACACATTTCCCCCCAAAGTAAATGTTTATCCAAATTATGCTGTAGGAAAAGAAAGAACATATTTTATGACATTTTATATAAACTACTTTCTCCTACCAAGCAGACTTAATCCTACTGTACAGTAAACAAAGGGACATCTATCCACAAAAACATAAATATATCACACTTCTAAATATCAAATAATCATTTGGTCCTGGTTTAAAATTACATCTTTGCTTAACAATGAGTAGAAGAAATTATGCTCTGCAGAGTGTTCTCAATTCAAAATTTTTATTTTTATTTAGAATTTACCTACTCCTTATAGTATATTCATGCTTATATGAATAAATATGCATAACTCTAACATGCATTTGTAGTATACATGAACTTTCTATCAAAAAATATTTTTAATTTTAATTTGAAGTATTTTAATTATTTCATTAAAACCATAATTACATTTGGATTTACATCTTTACCGATCTATATCCATGAAGACATCATCAGTGAAACAAAATCGGTGATTTTGTTTCCTTTTGCTCAAATGCTTTTATATCACAATCATAATCCCAGCTCCAGACAGGTTTTATACTTTTGAATAATTTTCTCAGATTATCAGAACAGTTAATACCATTTTCTCAGCCCTAGCAAATACTATAAACCTTGTAAATATAAATTTGAATGACAATTGACATTTTCATTCCCTTTTTTCTAGCAGTAAGTGGAAACATTCACATTTCAGTCACTTAGTTGTTGATCACATTAAATGAATGCCTACATTTCAACACAAAAAGCTCTGCTCTCTTGAAGAAACCAAGACTTTTCCAATGGCTACATATTTAAATTCTTTGCTGTCTACATTCCTTGTATTGTTGCTGGGGCTGACTGGGACCATGATGAAGCTGTCTGGAGAATTGCAATTGCACCTGATGACAGCTTCAAAGTGGTTGACTTTTATTTTCTTTCCATGCTGGAATGAAGATAAACCTATCAAGTATTTTAACAGAATTTAGTTGAAAAGAAAAACCTGGTGCTCTTCTGAAATTGATTTACTCTGTAAGTCTTTATTTAAGGAAGATTAAAAGCATGTCTGAAATAGACACTTTGAATATAGACTATATAATAGAATATATATATATGAATATATAATAGACACTACAGAAATATAAAAGCTATGGCTTAAATTTGTACCCTTTCTCACCCACGAGGAAATCTGGGATAAATGTTTGAAATACAGAGCAATCAGTCAGTTCTGTGCCTGTTCATTCTGATTCTCTGTTAACTTATCACCGAAATACATTTTGTATTCACTGAAAATTATTTTACTTTTCTAGAAGTTGTGAACTAAGTGGAAACTGTTTCTCTTTTCGGCTCAGAGATACTGATTGCTTGTTAACATCTTCATTCTTTTTAGGAATACTGCAAATCATGTTTAAAAAAAATCCAAAGAAAGCAGATGATTTTGACTATAATCTTCAATTTTTTGCTGTAAAGTTGGTTACAGCTGCAGAGGTTGTAGCTGGCTGGTATCAGCAAACAGATTGTCTGGGAGTGGTGCACGGATTTTGTCCGTACCTGAATAAACTGGGGCAGAAGAACACACAGGAAAATATTTTCTTGTGGAATCAAAAGGTGTTTTTTCCATAGAAGCTCCATTGGTAGAAGGGGAGACAAAATATATGTCTCAATGATATCTCAAAAGGGGGAGAACTGAGTTGGAATAGAGGTCAGTGCACGCAGTTTCTTATTCCTCATACTGTCGCTGGCACAGGACCGCTGTTTCCATGGAACTTCTCCTCTTCCTTGGCTTAACCAAGCCTTGCTGAGGATGGGATTCATCTCCCCACCTTCATTGCAGTTGCACATTCTCATGTCAGATCATAGTAAATAGGGAGAAATCACCGCTTCTGGGTGTTTAATGATTTAACTATTAAATGAAGTTAAATTAATAATAATTTTATTACATTGCTCAGAAGAGCTGTGGAATTTCCATAGTTGGAAACATTCAAGACTAGGCTTGGAAAAGCCTTGAATAACCTTATCTGAGGCAATGCTGTCAGCAGAAGGTGATTTCCTGAGTTCTTATCTAGACTTTCCATAATTCCTCTGATTCCCTTTTGCCTTCTACTCTAGTACAGTATGATGCATGCTTCAATACTTCCATTGATTTGAAAGTATTAAGTCCGACATCAATATTGACATTTAATCTGATGAATTCCACTGCAGATATTCTCAAAGAGAGGAGTTACATGTGCTGTATCCCTCCTGACAACAACAGCCTTTGGTACTTCAAAGAGCCGGAGCCCAATGCCACTTCTGATGGCAATCAAACACACAACTCTGGAAAAAAAAGAAAAGTAAAGTGAAAAACCCACAACCCCTGAACTCCAAAACTATTCTGGAGCACATCTCTGTTAGTCACTCATGCAGATGTGCTTCAACATATGCTTCTGGTAGCTGACCTATTTCTTCTTTCTGCAATGAGATGAGAACAAGTGTCATCTGGAAATGCCTATTTCCCACCAGGGAAAGACTAACTTAGCCACAGATGTTTGCAATCCAGGCAGCTGCTTTTGATCAGACAAATCCCGCACTGATGTTGTCAGACTCACAGCGTGCAGGTCAGAGTGCTCAGTAAACCCTAAAATTAAATTCTGGATTCCCCAAGCTAGTGGAGAGGGTCCTGTCCTTCCAGAGGCATTTCTTTGGCAGCCAGCACTGCGTTGGGTTCTTGTGTTCAGTCTTTGCAATGAGGTAGAGAGATGCTCAGTGCAACTGTCTTCTTCATCATCTTCCCTTTCTGTTTTGCCTGGTCAGTTTTGTTTGCAGTCCTTTTGTAAACAGGATTATTTACTGACCTCTCCCTTGGGGTTCTCTGGTGTGGGGCACTTGTACAGTTGGTTTAACCTCTGAGCAAATATACTGGAATGTGTGTTAACCCATGAGTCTTTCCTGGGGTAGAGAGCTCTCCTTCCATCAGACACGGGGAGTGAAGCCCCAAAGGCTGGCTCTGGTCTTCAAAGTTGTTTATTCCTACTTTCTGCTCTTTTCCATACCTTGAATATTGATGAACAGGGCTTGCAAAGTTGGGCAGCTGCCCAATACTCACTGGTGGCAAGGCAGGACCATGTGTCTAGGCCAGTATTTCCTCATGAGAGGGACATCCCTCCACCTGATGAGAGGAACATCCTTCCTATCTTCTCCCTGGCACCAGCTGATGACTAAACATCAACAGGCCAGCTGGGCTGAAATGTGCAACTGGCTTGAGAATGACTTTCTACAGAAGTGACTTGCTGCTGTTTGGGGGTATTTTAAGAGCGCAATAAATTCTGTAACAATAATAACAACAATATAATGATGATGATGATAATAATAACCTTAGAAAATGACTGACCCATTTTGTTTGACCGCAGGGGAAGCACTACATTTGGCCAGAGATTTCGGCTACACCTGTGAAACAGAGTTCCCTGCCAAGGCAGTAGGAGAGCACATTGCCAGACAGCACATGGAACAGAAAGAGCAGACAGCGAGGAAAAAGATGATCCTAGCGACAAAGTAAGGAGGGAGGGGAAGCGAAAAAAGAAATCGGTCTGTCACTTCTCCATGTTGGATCTGTGGGCTGGGGGAGGGAGGAGTGGGAGTATGGAGCTGGGATTGTGGTGACTGCTATCACAACAGCGCTCACTGACTGCGGGTGAGAGCCATCCTCCTCAGAGATGCTGAAAGAGGAACCTTATCTACTGCAGTGGGGTTTTGGTAGCTGTGCTCTTATTGCCTGTGGTTAGGGGGGCACGTACATCTTTCCCAGATGCTTTGGTTTAGATGAGAACAGAGGATATTATTGCATGGTAAGATCTGTAGGACAGAAACTGGCTTTGTCTCCTGTTTGTGTGTGAGCAGGAGATCTGAGCTTTTACTGAAGTATTGGTTACTGTTGGATAATTATCATCAGTCTGCTGAGGGAGAGCTGGTTTGCAGAAGGACAGATCCTCTCTGGATGCAAACTGCAAGAGCTCCCCTGAAGTCAAAGGCACTGGAACAATGTACAACAGCAGGGGAGCTTTGCTAAAGACATTAAAGACACAAAGAGGCATCAGACTTCACTCCAAACAAGCCACTCATCTCCCTGGAGCAGTAACATCATGTTAGGATAACATTTCATCTAGGTTAATTAGCCTTGATGAGGGAGGAATTAGCCTTCATGAGCCATGGGAAACAAGAATAAATAGTCTGTGTGGAGTAGGTTAGACTTGCCCTAGGTGTGTGGTCTGGCTTCGTGGGGTAACCTTGAACACATTCACAGTCTGTCTGTGCTCACTGCTGTGTCATATTTGAGGCTGAAGTAGAGCTGAGACCACAAATCTGAGCTCTCAAATCATCCCCTTCACGCTGGAAGTGTTTGAAAACTCTTCTAGGCTGTGATATATCCAACAGAGTGGAATTTCCTTGTACTAGGGGAAAGGGCTGGCCAGCAGCAGGACTGTCCTTTGTATCCCAATGCCCTTCTGATTTGGCAAGAATCTTGGCCTTGGTGTCCCTCTTGTATCCAGAGCACCCTGCCCTGACTGTGACCCAGAGATGAGATGCACTTTAACACCTCATGCTTGTGAATCCCATGAATACAGCCTGTGATCCTTGCTGGGGATTATAAAAGCATCACCATGTGGATCAGTGGGAATTTTTCTGGTTGTGAAGGTGATGAGAGACCTCATCTATCATGTTCCTAATTCCCCTATACATTAAAAGGAATAATGTAAGTGTAATATTATCTTCTTCTTACCTCTGTCCATGTTTAAGGTCTCAAGGGTTTTCAGAGGCATGAGAATAAGCCAGCTGGACAGAAGAAATTCCTCTCTGCAAGTTGTGTCTCCCCATTGCTGTGTAGCCCATTAACATCCTGCCTCCTAGCTGAGGATTTGTCCCATTTACAGAACACAATTCAACCAAAATGATGCAAATCTTCCCCATATTTCCCTGGCTCTTGTGAGAAATCAGAAAGCTGCGGGTTGTGATAATTGGTGTGTCACTTTTATGTCCTGTCCCCAAAGGGTGTGCCACTCAGGGGCACATAAGGGTCCCACTACCCTTTTTCACCATCCCATACGTACTTTCTCAGCCTCCTTCACTGCTGAGATAAGGTATCATGGGCTGGCACTACCCCTAATCACCATGAACTTCGGGTTTGTAGGCTGTTATCCATCACTCGTTAGGAACAAAATTACTTTTCCCTTCCATCCTATCGGTTAAAAGCACCAGGAGATTGCTCAGAGAGGTCTGTCAGTAACAGAAAGTCCACATCCTACTGCAGTCAGCGCTGGAACAGGGACAGATGGGTCAATGTGTGTGTTACTACTGCCCTCTCCTGCCTGCAAGGAGAACAAGGATTCCCAGTCCTGCCCAGGTGTTCCAGGGGACACGGCTCCACGACATCACAATATTAACAAAGCATTTCTCAGCCCTGCTTCCACCCCTCTGATACAGAGGGCTCTAGACAATCATCAGGAGTTCCAACTACTCACCAGCCAAGCCCAAGCTCTAGGTTTGCAATTTCAGCAATTCCACAACTTCCCTGACTCATGGGCTTGGGAGTGATGACACCAGAAAATGCAGGGGATTATTATGCTGTCACCAAAACCAACACAGAATCTCCAGGGTGGTAAGATCCCTCATGGCATCTTTTTCTCTATGGAAAGAGCTGGAGTGCCACTGCCTGTGTGTGTTGCTGCAGTCCACCGTGGGACAGAGCCAGAAGCCCACAGAAGCGCTCACATGTGGGATCTTGAGGAAAAATAAGGGGAAAGAATAAAGTTATTTCCACAATCCTTAGAATATAGGTGATGAGGGGAAAGAAAAAAGGGGAAAGGGCAAAATTATTTCCACAGTTTTTCAAATCTAGGTGTATTTCCATTATGGATTTAGACATCCAAATTCATTGGCTCAATACAGCTGCCCAAATATAAGCATCCATTGCTATTTGAGTTGAACTGGGTTATCCAGTTTGGCCATGAGCTGCTGCTCCAGGGACACACAGATCTCCTTTTGTTACTGTTTTATGTCTGCCAGCAGTTATGGATGTCTTGGGTATTACAAATCTACATGGGAGTAACTAAACAGTGCCCTAAATGTCTACAGTGATGAAAACACCAGTGTCCAGTAGGAGCTCCCAGGTGTCCATGTTCCACAAAGAAAAACTCAATTGTCATGATTCTGGCCAAAGAGTACTGATATTGGCCTGTTAACCATAGAAATATAAAAAGGTTTCAGGATATGTGTTCAATTCACTAGAAATAGAAAAAAAATAGTGGGGCCTGGTTTTATAGGATCTTTAAACATGGGTTAATTGGCCTTGCAGAGGCATGGGAGAGCCTGAGAGGTTTTACAGCAGGGGACAGAACCTGACCAGTTTGCAGCTTGGACAGATGTAACACTGCTGAAGGCTGTGTCAGCCATTCCAGTTGCTGGAGAGTCACAGCATCCTACAGGAAACCTTCCAGTGTTTCACAGCACAAGGTCTTCCATCTGATCAGAGGGACAGGTACACCACATTTACACAGACCAAACCAGAATACTGTGAATAATAGTTTTATTGTGGAGTTGATTACAGCCAGCACAGACTAATCAGCATCTGGCTCCTGACACTTCTCTGATATCTGGTCCTTGGATACCTGGCAACTCTGCCAGACTCAGAATAAATCAGATTCATGGGCTCACATTGGCCCCACTTCTGTACTCAGCACCAGGCATTTGCTTTGGCCACTGGTAGGGGTGCATGGGCTCTTGTTTTGACCCAGTACAAATTTTTTTCTCATTTTCTGATCATATACTGGATCATCCGACCATGTGTCACAAATCCTCAGATGTCTCCCATGCAGGAGTGACCAAGACTATTTTTATTAATCTGTGCCCCCCTAGGATAGCACAACCATCTTCCTGTGATTTTTCACAGTCCAGCTCAGCAAAAAACAGCCAGCCCCTCTCCCTGTCACTACCCCAGGTGATATTTTACTGGTAGTGGAGGCTCTGAGACACCACTTTGCCTAGAAATCCCCTTGAAAAAAATAAGTAGGTTACTGCCTTTTACAGGTTTTCATGTATAATAAAAAAGTTTTTCCTTTTCTTTCAATCTGCCAGCATTCAGTAAAGACTTTTGACACGTGGAGATAGAAGGGAACTTAATTGCACACTTGGTTCTGACACTTTCCTTTGTTAAAATAAAAGAACTTTTAAGATTAACTTTTTCAACAGGTAGAAAGTAGAGGTTGGAGGAAGGAGAGAAGAGCAGTGCTGACAGGGCCAACTGGGGATAGTGGATTGTTTAGAAGCCAAAATGACTGACTGTTTTCAGTTGTTGAAAGGAGCTGTTTTTCCTCTAAGGACCTGATTCATTAAAACTGTATGCTGCATTTACATACATTTCTGCTGAATACCTCTCTTTGCCTGAAAGGCTGGGGTGATGCTGTCTTTTCAAGCAGTCGGTGTCTAGGTCCATGCAGATGACAAGCATTTAGAGAAACCAGGCTTGGATGGGGTCCAGCAGCACAGCAGGAAATAGGTTTCTGCATCTCCCCTTAGCCAAAAGACAGCTATCCAAGGTCTGTGTTCCCAGCTTGCATCACTGTGATAAAATGAAGGGTAAAACTGGCTCAGCACAGTTTTCTTGTTTATAACTCAGCAGTGAAGGACCTTCTGAAGGCCAGCAAGCTGAGTTCATCCACTTTTTCCATTACACACATCCCAGAAGATAGGAGTTACAAGGTGATAATGAAGAACCCAAACTTTATCTAGGACCAGGTGTGCAGTGAGTCTCCTAAAAGGAATCATGGACCACAGGGATGCTCTTTAGTATTAAGAAATCCCACCAGGCTCAGAGATTGCATCTATGCTAACAAAGTAAACCACACACACTCTGAGTCATCAGACTGCACTTGTCCATGTTACTAAAATGTTAGAATGGCTCATTGAATTCTCCCAAATACTTTTCAGGAAAGCCCTGGGAGACAGCCCACAACAAGGTCTATACTCCAGGAAACCACAGGATTTAGGAGACTGGAGGAGTGTAACTATATGTGTGTTATCAGATGGTGACAAGTGGTCTGCAGGTGTGAGGGTGACCCTTGTCATTCTACACTTCATTGGGTGGCACTGTTTCCAGGCTACATGTAGTCACTGTGAGCAGTACCAGGTAAATCCAACAAAAGCCAGGGCTCCAGCTGAGTGTCCTGATTATCTGGAGGTGATCACATCCTCCTGGTCCCTGCTCAGTGCCTTTATTTCCAATACAGGCAATGGAGAACTCTATGCTAATTTGGACAGATCCCCTTTCCTTTTTTTAATTAACTGAATCATAAAACAAGTGAAAGTAAGTGATATCTGTTCATCCATGGTCCAGATAATGCTCTTCTGAGGACATGAGCTAAATGCAACTGATTTGGTTTCTTTTTTTAAAAGTTTGTTGGTAGAATAGTCCTAGGGTAACTTACAAACAACAATACAACAACGCAAGAATGAAAAGGCCTTATTTTCAGGTCTCTCCTAGTGCTAGGTCCTATATAGAGGAATTCCAGGGAATAAATTTAACCCCCAGGTGCTGAGGCATCCTGAGAAGCCTTAGGGAAGACTGAATGGGAGAGGAAATCCATCCATCCATCCATCCATCCATCCATCCATCCATCCATCCATCCATCCTTTACAAAGAAGATGGGCTACTATGCTGCTGGGAGGGAATCAGACCCTGAATTCCCAGACAAGGGGTCCTTCCTTCACAGCCCCTTTGTCTTAAGGGCTGGGAGTCAAGAAGACAAGTCCAAAATATCCAGGACTTCAACTTGCAGATAAAGCAGTGCCCACAATAGACACAAGCCTATGTACAAGTATTGGTGTATTTACACAAAATAAATAATAATCTACACATTTCAGGCATATTCTAATGCTAAATCACCATTTCCTTTAACCATAAGCCTTGCTGCCAATGTAGACAAGCTAAGCTAGACTTAACACTGAGAAACTGTGTCCTCTTCAGGGGAAAAATTGCATTTTAAAATGCTAGCATTAATATGGTTCCATAAGGAAAATATTCCTGTTCAAGAGATTCTGTATGTTGTTGGCTCTGAGAATTTGGGGCAGGGAAGCCAGAGATGGATTTCTTTGTCATTAATTTCTGTAACAACATTTCTGTCAAGCAATTCTGTTATGAATGAGATCACTCAGGATAAGGTGGGAGTGTTTTGAGAATCAGCATTATGGGTAGGATTATACCCATTTTATTGAAGGATTTCCATTTTCCTTTTAGACAAATATGTAAAGAATTCCAAGACCTTCTAAGTCAAGACAGATCACCCCTCGGATCCTCCAGACCAACTCCAATATTAGACCTCGACATCCAGAGACATTTAACGCATTTCAGGTATGATTTTGAAAGAAGAAACTAAAAATCCATACATTTGATTTAGACTGCATATGATGTTTCAATGTTATTTGTTCCCTTACTTAAAAGACATGCAAATAATAAATTTAGATCCATAATCCCTGCTAGATGTGCCTATTAAAACTGCAGGTTTGCCCAGCAATGTAGTTCAAGTTTGCTGCATTCAACCTGCTTCTAGGACCTCAGTCTGAGATTGAATAAGATATTTTCTGCATCTACTTGTCAAATCTCCCCATTTGGCCAGAATGTTGTCTTGCTTTAAATGTGACCCAAATCACAGCTCACAAGTGGATGGTCCAGAAGCGTAGAAACTCAAGTTCTGAACCAATATAAATTAATCAAAGTAGAAATAATAGGAAGAAGTTGCATCCTTTCCAATTAAATAAATAGTTCCAGAAGCACATTTATGTGACTGAAATAATTTGACAATGTCTTACCAGGACCATTTTATTAACTCTTTGGCTTCCAAAGAAGGTTGGCCTCAAAGTTCATTACCTATTAAAACAATTTTACTGCACTAATTTCCAAACAACACACTGGAAAAAATCTGGGAGAATGAAAGCTCACTCACACTAAACAGCCAGATTGGTGATATATTTAGACTCGGTTTTTGAACAATATTTAATGTTCTGGTTTAAACAGGCTGTTTTGAAGACAAAGACCCAAGGTACATACACACCAAGTCCAAACTCCATTAGAATTTTATCCTAATTATGTATAAACGTCAATAGATGTTTTGGGGTCAGAAAGATTTATTAGCTCAGGAGTTGCTGTGCAATTTCACGTTTTTGCTTTAGGCAATGTGTCAGATACACTCGAGAGTGAGATGAGAACTTCCAGAGGGACACTTTGAAATAGTGGAGTCATCTAAGATATCTCTCAAAGATAAGTTTGATGAAACACCCTGGAGGTGCTCCTGTCTTTGCTCAGGCCACAGAGGCTGACTTGCTGAGGCTACAGATTGTTAATTTTTTCAATCCACTAGCTGAAATATGGAAAAATGTGTGAAGAACTGTTCCAGAGAGTTGTTTACAGACCATAATATTAAGCAAGTTTCACAGCCCTATAAAGACTTAGAATTGTGCTGTATACTCTTTAGCACAACCAGCTGAGCCACTCTTCCTTCGTTGGCTGGAGAGACAACTTCTGTGTCCCAATGTGCCAACATCTGTTAGTTATTAACATTCTGATAGGCACTGTGATAACTGATGTTTAGTCTCTCACACTTTGAGTGGAATCCTAAAAATTCTCACCACCCCATTCTTTCATACATCTGCTGGGGTGTGGAGAGGCAAGAGTAATTCCCCATCCACTAATGCACACATTCCTGACATTCCTGTTTATTCTTCCACACATCTGTGTGCATCCTACATGTGTATGAACACACCTCAACAACTTATTCCTGTTCTCAAGCACTGCTATGCATTTGTGTGTGTATATTTTCCATGATACACACTCCAAAACACCCAGCTCCATGTGCACATCAAGAGAAGCATCCTTATTTGTGCAGAATGCTCATAGAGGGATTTAAATGAGCTACCTAAGCTTGTGGAGAAAGAGATAATTCCCTATTATTATTACCTGTGCACAGAGGAAATGTGAGGTGGCTAATCCCCAAGGATTCCTGTGTTTAAAGTAGAAATAGCAGTCAGGATAAAATGCTGAAGGCTTCAGATACAAAACTGTCAGCTGGTACAGCTCCCATCCTTCCTTCTCTGCTGCACTTCAGTAGGCTGGAGGACAAAACTTCTGCAGGCAGCTCCTGGACCAGTCAGTGCTTTCTTTCATGCCTGCTGCAGGCACTAAGCGTTGGACTGAAGATGGGCACCTGGAGGAGAACAGGCCTTGGTCCTACACAGGGTCTTCCCTGGCCTTAAATCAGTCTTCTCTGATTGTGCTCAGGGAATGATGAGTGCTGCCAGACCCAGAGGTGAAGCTGAGACCATATTCCTTTTCCAGCTAGTGTAGAGGTGCTAGGGTCAGATCAGCTTCCAACCTGGACTTCTGCCTCCACTGCAGCCAGCTGGACATCTTCTGCAATGGTGTCCAGTCATCTCACCTGCATAGCCCAAGAAATCTGTCTTAAACAGGTCTAATAAAGATGTTTCCATCAGTGTAACTATAATTTCTCTCTAAACTCCATTGGCTGAACATTCTGGTCTAGATCTCCACCAGAATGGGAGATCAGCCAACCAGTACACAGTAGACACTTACACTGTGGACAGCTAAACCTAATGAAGGCAAAAAAATCATAATTCCCATCCCCTAAATCCACCAGTCCTCACAGCCAGATTGTCTCAACCCCTACTTGTTTTCTTGAGATTAAATATCTTGGGTTTGGAAGGGACCTTAAATCTCATCTTATTCCAAGGCCCTGCCATGGGGGATCTAGAGTCTCTAATGTCCCTTCCAACCCAAACCATTCTAGGATTCTATGATATGATGTCAGAAATCTGAAGGGATTTTTTATGACCATAAAGAAATCAGAGGAATCACATAAATGTCTATTATTAAAATAAGTTCTAAGATATTGAAAGACTTTTTGAAGAGCTATAACATCAGATATCTACAGTGGAATTTGATCCAGCCTCTACTACACTGGGGTGAAAGAGTTTTCTTTAGGAATAAATTCCCTACTGCTGTTCATTGTAGAGCTGTGTACTCCACTTTCTCATGATGTTACTTGTTCTATGTTAATAATTAAGACCAGGGTTTACAGCCTGGCACAGGTCAGATAGAAGCAGCTTCTTACCCACTTCCTCTGTCTTAAATCTCCAAGTTCACACTTCTCTCTGAAGTTTTTCCACTGAGTATTAGTTCACCGAGATCTGTAAATGTGTCCAACCTGGAGTACAGCGTGGCCCCATGAAGGGATCAGAAGTGCTGGGTTTGCTCAAACTCCAAACTCAAAGTTCACACAAAGCACAGAACAGGAAATCTTCAAAGGAACTGACAGTGAGCCTGAAAACTTCTGGATTTTGCACAACCTTATGCAAAAAAACAGAGACTCTTGTGCACCCCTGTTTGTGCAGCTGCTGTCTGAGATGTTCTGAATTCAAAAACTCAGTGTTCCATGAGGAATGATTTTCCAATATTATTCGACCATGAACAGATGATTTAGACCCATAAATTTATAGCAGGAAATATTTTGCACTACCTGGGCCAGGGTCATTTTATGTTTTTTTTTCATTCAACATTTTCCCTTTTCAATACATTTTAGAGGATCTTACTGCAGGGAAGTTACTTTGGTAACTTCTCTTGTCAGTATGTTGTTGAAGTTATATTGCTACCTTCAAATAACTTCAAGTGTATTGATACAAGCAGATAAAAGTAGTGCCAGAGAAGAGACATTGGCCATCTGTGCTTCTCTTTACCTGCAGAATTTCTGGGTTTTTTTCTGCCTAGTCTAACCAAAAACTAATCCCAACTATTCCTGGGGACAGTGGTACATATATATCACCAATAAAAGTGTAAGTTTAGAATTCCTAGAAGCACCAGCCCCTATTATAGCCCAGTCAGGTGCCTTGCCTGTGTTATAAATTTAGATTTAGGGAAGTCCTGCCTTGCCAGGGCTGGATCCCAAACGTCATGGGCTAAGTGTTGGGGTAGCTCAGATTTCTAAGCATTACATAAGTCTGTGTTCAGGAAGAGGTGATATGTTGAAGGGCTGCCCAAGTTGTCCTTCAGCTCTTCTTTGAGCTGGATAAGTTAGGAGAGACATTAAAGATCATCTTGTTCCAACCTCTCTGCCACAGGCAGTGACACTTTCCACCAGACCAGGCTGCTCAAAGCCCCATTCAACCTGGTCTTGAGTACAGAGTCCTGTGGGTTGTATCTGACCTGAAAGTCACCACTTGAGTTACCCCACCCCCAGTTTCTGATGAAAAATTCATCATGAAGTCATGGAGCAAGCAATAAAAAAACCCTGGAAAAACCCATTGCCATTACTAAGTGCTGAGACTTTTTGTGCAGACACAGGAGCGTCTCTTTATTGTCCTCTAAAGGCTGATCTGTGCAAAGCATTTTTGAGTTTACTACAAAAGAGACCAAAGTCAGCATATCAGAATTAGAAAAGAACCTGAAATTTTCTCTAGCTTTAATGAGAAGAACCTATTTTTCTCACCCTTTACTTTCAAAGTGGAGAGACCATGAGGATCACCAGGAGAGTAAAGAGTGAGAAGAGTGCCAGATCACTGGTGACCTGAGGAATCCGTGTATCCTCACTCTGCTAATGTGTGAAATCAACTAAAGGTTTAATCAACAGCATTCCCCAGCTTCAGTTTAAGAACCTTAGAGTGATTCAGCTGTCTGGGCAATGTGGAGATCTCTGGTCATTTTAGGTGTGAAGAGACATCCTGTTTTACACGCATCTGCTACTCAGATCAGCATTTAGGGTATCCCTCCAACTGGACCACATATCCAAATCAATAAGACAGTATTTTTTTTTAATTATTTTAGGCAATATTTCTCTCCTGTTGAGTGGAGAGAGCTCACACCTTCTTCTCTCTTCCATTCCACTGTCATATCTGAGATTCAGCCAGGAAACTGAAAGTCACACTTATATGTCTTCATGTCTTTGTCTTTGTAACCTGCCCTTGCTTCAGAACAGCTTTGTTCCTTGTTATTGATTTTGGTTTTTTTTAATTTTTAACAGAATTATTTTCTTGGTTCCCCAAAATCTCATGTAAACTAGAGTTAGCAGAAAACCCATTTAAAAAAAACCCAAAAAACCCCAAAAGACACATTCTTTGCTGGAAAACCAAAATCAGAACACATAAACCTTTACAATAGAAGACTTTCTGAGATTTTACTCATGAGATCTGTGTCTTGTTTTATACATACAGACTTTCTGACCTCATCAAACAGCCTCCTAGCCTCACCTTCATCACTTGTAAAATTGGATATAGACACATCTTCTACACTTGATTTTGAGACACTTGTGTCTCTAAGAATCTGTGGTGCTTGGAAATTTCTGATAT